GTGTGTGTGTGTGTGTGTGTGTGTGTGTGTGTGTGTGTGTGTGTGTGTGTGTGTCTGTGTGTGTGTGTGTGTGTGTGTGTGTGTGTGTGTGTGTACATCTGCAAGCATGTTAGCATAGGCACATGTATTCTTACCCCTGTGTCAATACGTGCGTGAGGGTGGCATCTGGGCATGCACATATTCTGTATTGTAGGGCAAGTACCTTTTCACCGGACGGTGTGTCGACAAGAAACACTTCGCTCCACATCAGAATCCCTGTTGTGTACCTTTCTGAACCCCCTTTCCATGGAAATCCATCAAGATGGGCTAGCTCGTCTGACAACCAATCGTGGCTTCCCTGCAGACATTGTAAAAGAACTGTGATTAATGGCTAACGACAATGGTGAACCCAGCAGCAATCAGAATTCAATCCTTCTCAAACATTCTCAAAGACACGACGACCTTGGTGCTATTGTTGTTAGGTGTTCAGTTCTCTTTCAATGAAACATCACGTTACGTGTGCGTGCATGCATCTGCTACGGGCGTACTACTCATCCTGCGCGCGTGACCCACAGCAGACCCTTCCCCCGACATCATCGCCTACCGTCTTCTCCATGAAGCGCAAGCAGAAGTTGAGCAGGAAGGACTTGCCCTTCCGGAACGCGCCAGCTACCGACACGACAACGACCTTCCGGTCTCGCACATGGTCCTGCAGCAGAATGCTCTCGATGGCCTCCTCGTCGAGGGTGAACGTGTGCTGGTCGCCCGTGACGACGACGGGCACGGGCTGGCCGCGCGATCGCTTCGTCATGCCATTCATTTCAACTGAAGACGACAACCAAACATGCGTAGTGGTAGTATTTACATATACATTAGGGGTGAATAATGATATATATATATATATATATATATATATATGTTACATTGTATATATATCAGAAGTAGAGTCCCTAGTATCTACTTCTGATATATAGTATTACTGTAACGGCCGCGCGTAATTTCACGTATCTCCTCCGAAACCGCCGTAAGGAATGTGCCCATTTTCCTCTTACCGGGGGGTTTCCAATGTGGCGAAGATGATGCGCTATGTCACTAGGCTGTTACTTCAGCAACATTTCAACGACAACAACATTTCAGCAGGTTCCCCTTCGGCAGGTCGCTATTGCGATCGGTAAGTGCTGCCGTCTCTACGAACAATTATTAACTAGAAAAAGAGCATGCATGGCGCCATTTTAGTGCAAATCTAAGCAGACAACACAGGCAAGATAAATCTTAAATAACTACTCATAATATCG